TCTTCTATATACCTGAATCAACCTCTGGTTTTAAAAACAACTTTGCTGAGTGTATATTAGTTACAATTTCCGAGAGAGAGTGCTTAATCTGGCGAGATTAACAGTTGCATAGCGCAGTTTCAAAGAATTGTGACTATACAATTTTGGGATCGACCAGAACTAATTTTGTCAACGCACCTTTTGAAACTTCTCCAAAGTCGGTAACATTCAAATTCGGTGTAATGCTCAGAATGTGAAAGTTTTAACTACTAAGCCTTGCCACTATATGACTATACACGGTGCGATGGATAAATTCTCGTCTAAATTACGCAAAACATTTTACAGATATATTTACCAAATTTACACAATAATGTCTTGAAGTACTAAATAAGTATTTAATAATTAATAAATTTATTCAATAAGATCGCCATAGGCTTTCAACCACGGTCTCCAAGCGACTTCGGAATCTCTTGCATCTCTTCTGGGTGGTCTCCTTATTTAAGCTGGTGAATGCTGCCATAATCCTTGCTTTCAGTTCATTTTTGGTGTTACAAGGAGTTTTGCTGATTTCTTGGTCAACTGCACCCTCATATAATAATCAAGGGGGTGCTGTTTGGCCAGATGTAGGGGTGATGTGATCGCAGAAATTGTCTGACAACCATGACTGAGTCCTCCTGCTTGTATGTCATGGTGTAGATTCCTGTTGTCAGACATAGTATTTTTCCAACTGGCACCCTCTTTTCCCCTATGCAGCACTTCCTCCTCAAAGCACTTGATGTAGGCATCTGTGTTGAATCTGTGGGCCTGTGGGAAGATGAACGTTGCCATTACCCGTGATCACTCCAAACACCATCGTAATCACCAGTAGACTCATCAAACTCTTTCCAAATATTCGGCACTGTCTTAAGATTAACACCCAAACACTGAAATATTCGTATTGGCACGAATGCTAAGCAGTACAGCATGATGTTTCCAAATTTCTGGCGGAGTGAATTACATCATGATAATCTTTCTCTCACAGATGGTGTGCAACTGAACCCTACTATACTGTGCAGTCGACAAAATGAAAAACAAACAACGCGCATGCGCGAAATTTATAATATAAAATGGCTATAATTTACCCATCGAACTCAGTATAAATCACTCTGTGGGATATTGAATAACAAAGATAATGGAAACAAAAACAGAAATGGTATCTAAATTAAATTGCTTAGATTATATATCCAAGGCTGATAATTTTTTTTCTAAATTTAAAATTCCCAGCGTCTCTCGTTTGTGCGCATGTGTAGTCGCATCAACGGAAACAGACCGAGTCCGATGAGGTCCGATGAGGTCCGATGATGTTCTAAAGGACGAAACACTTCACAAGAAATCTTTATTCACTTTGCCATACGTATTTCCTTCAAAACTGTTCTTGATGTATAAAATATTGCTATCCCATATATACATATATAATTTTCATAGAGGATGATATATTTTACTAGTGAATATTTCATTTAAATGTATAAAATAAATTATTTTGTCGATTTTTTAATAACATTTTCTTTTTTTTTATGTTCTTTGGGAAACATCCCACTTGGTATAAACTAAATAAGAGAACATTTGATGTTTTTAATGTTGGTTAGACCGAGAACTTTTATCGCCTCAGTTATATATATATTGTGCATACCAATGTTGATGAAGGGCGATATTTTATAAGTGATATCCTCTGATTGAATTCCATTTTTTTCTATTAAACCAGCAAGAGAAATTAACAGAAAACACTGTTTTTATGAGAGAAAGAATCGACTTTTCAAATGCGGACATTATTAAGGTAAAAAGAGAATAATGACAGATCAATAAATGAAAAGCCAGAGGAAGGAAAATCGTAAAAAATTGTTGTTTATTGACAAAGGAAAAGTGCTGTAGATAAATGGCTTGTCGGATAAAGGCGGCAAAACAGATAAAACACGAGGTGACGTGGTATTAAATAAATAAATAAAAATCTCTCCTAAAATGATCCTTTGCATACACAAATTATGAGGGTGTCTCTGTGATTCTGCGTCTATTTGTTGTTGATATATATATATATATATATATATATATATATATATATAGATAGATAGATAGATAGATAGATAGATAGGAGAGGTAATATATGTTCTTGTGGTTGGGCAGCAAACCCTCCCTAATACAACTTTCATTAAAAATAAATACCAAGTTAATTCTGTTAAAGTTTTAGTTCATTTTTTCTTGTATGCGTACAAGAGATTTATTTGGACACTTGGTGAATGGATAAATTGTCCAGTTATACGTTCCAAATGGTTTCCGTTATCAAGGATTTTGGTTGAGCCATTTCGAATGATGTAATTCGTGTACATTTAATTCTTGTACATGTAAACGGTCCTCTCTCTATCCCCGTCACACACACACACACACACACACACACTCTCTCTCTCTCTCTCTCTCTCTATATATATATATATATATATATATATATATATATATATATGCATGTATGAATAGGAAGTATATCTTCCTTAAGCATATTTGGTTGAATAATCTGTACATATCATGTCTATTTATTTTTTTATTCCTCTCAAATTCACTGATCAATATCTTAATGTTGTTATTAAATTCATTAAGGAAGACGCCGTAGTTTTTTTTTATTTCTTTTATTTTTACAGGTATTTTCAGTCTCATTCAAGATCATCTTCAGGGTGAATTGCTAAGAAAAGTTAATGTAATTGATAGTTGTTATGTTGTTTTAGTTAATATGTATAAAACGCGCCCTATTATAATTATAAAGTCGTTTGAACTAGCTCCGTTATGTAAAAAAAATATCGTTATCTGATGGAAATCTTTAACTTATACGACTGTAATTTATTTGTAAATTAAAATTTAAGTGTTTTAAAATATTGTTGCTATAATCATAATACTTTATTTATGTTGGTTGTAATATTTTTATATAGAACCTACGTAATATTTTTGTAATATTTTTATATCTAACCAACGCCTTTATCCACTGTGCCATGTGTCCTCGAGGACATCTGTATTGAAATTTCTGGGTATTATAAACCCAATGTCTCAGCAACCGTTTTTACCAGTGCTCATAGTGCAATTTTTTGCTGTTATCATTTATGTTTTTACCAGACCTCATATTGCAACTTTTTTTGTTATTATTGCTTTTCTCTGGCAATATTACTGGTTCTCATATTGTATTCATTTCTGTGCTTGGTCGGCTCAGGAAATTTTTGTGGCCTAGCATATGTCTTGATTCCTTAAGTTACAAGACCTAAAGAGTGTGAGTTCAATACCCGGTTAACGTAGTGGAGAACTTTCAGAGGAAAATTAAGAGGAGATAACTGATAAATGACATCCATTATATATGGCACGTGGAACTAGAAGAGTCTACCACAGTGAGCGAAATAAAGGGTTCAGTTCGACATTCCAACCAACTGAAGAAGGTCGGAGCGTACAACGGCTGAAACGTTGTAATAAATATGGCGACAAAGATGAGGACAATAGGCCGAATAATGTAAATAATGTACATAATACCTCATCTCAGAAATATAGACAGATACAGAATGGTTTTAATCTTCTGTCAAGTTCATTATATGCTAATTCTTGGTTTAGCTGCAAAATTTAAAACTGTACTGCACATATATGCAAAACAAAGAAAAATAATAATGCTGACAATAAAACTATTAATATTTATTATATATTAATAGTCCTTTTGAGAAAATGCAAGCATATATGAGAAAGATTTAAAATCAGAATTTCTAGCCATGCCCTGTCTTTCCTCCTCAAATAGACATGAAATAAAATTTAAAAAGAAGTGTAATTTACTCATATTAACGAAGAGACTTGATAGATTTGTGCTAGTTGATTGCCATGATTAAAGTTGTAGAAGGATTTCTGTGGAAATTGTATTTCTTTGAGTAAGCCTAAATTCCTCTTTAATCCTATATATAATATTAATGTACATATATATATATATATATATATATATATATATATATATATATATATTAATGGATATACATATATATTAATATATATATATATATATATATATATATATATATATATATATATATATATATATATATATATTTCTCAATCTTTTTGTCGCTTTAAACTCTTGTATATACATATGACAATACAAACAACCAAAATATACATCATTCAAGATGCGAAATATATGTGTACTTGCGCGCGCGCGTGTGTGTGTGTGTGTGTCTGTCTGTGCGAGTGTTTTTGCGTGCGTGCATGACTATACACCTGTGTTACTTTGTTCATTTTCCCCTCCCAATATATCCTTCTACTTCTCTCCCTCCCTATCTCCCTAATCTCACTCTTTCTGCCTCTCTCTGTCACTGTCTTTCGCTTTCATCTCACACTAGATAATATACAGATACACACAACAAAAAAAACTTATATATACATGATTTTATATGTGTGCGTATCTGCGTGCGTGATTGTGTGCTTGCCTTTATACACGTGTATGCGTGTGTCTGTGTCCGTCTCTGTGTACGTATGTGTGTAACGGTTTCGAAAATTCTCGAGAAGACGTACATTCAGGTTTCAGAGCCTACACGTCTATGCGTGCATGCATTTGTGCGTCCGTGTGTTTGTGTGTATTCGTGTGGTTATATGAACTCGCGTTTGTCTATATGCATGTGTGTATACGTTTGCGTGTCTTTGTGTAGGTGTGTGTGTGTGCCTGCGTGCGCGTGCATCTGTGTGCGTTTGTTTGTCGTGCGTTTGTGTGCGTGTGTTTGTGTGCGTGGAGCTGTGTGTGGGAGGGTGTGGCAATTTTGAACCTGCGCAGAAGCATTTTCAGGTTTCTGATTTACATTTATCACAAAACACCGTATAGTTTTCGCCGCCAACTTGTGACCACTAACACCTTTCTCTTCTCGCTACGAATGGGGGTCTTTGCCTCCGGATTTGCTGCCACAGCGAATCGTGACACGATACTATACGCGACTTTACCAAGTCTATATTTTAAATTTAACATTTCCTTTTCACGTAATATAATGCGAAATATTCCTCTGCAGCACCCGCCATGTTTATTCGATTCATTGTTTTCAATTCTCTCTCCCTCTGTGTTTGTTCACACGTCTGTTTCACTCGGCGCGATTTGTGGCCTTGCATTCAGCCCTGTCATGATCATAAATCAATTATTTACACACAGTTTATATTTTATAGACAACGTCACTATTTCACTGCTTTCCATCTGCCTAAATCCTCGCCTCACGGGGTTGCGTAACTGTTACTCTCTTTATTTTACGTCTCCCGGAAATTTCCTTTCATATGAATGTTTTCTTTTAATCGGCATTTTCACTTTAATTAAAAATTTTACTTTTAAAATCCCGTTCACACAAATATCTTTAACTACTTTGCCTTGCGTTCTTTCTCTCTTTCATTGTATTCAATTTTTTTCTAGTTTTTCGTTCTTTTTACGCTTTTTGTCTTTCTATTTTTGCTCCATTTTACTAGTCTATCCGACTAGAAAAAAAGGAATCTAGTCTTTTAGTTATTTCTTTCTATTTTTCTTACATTTTTATTGGAGTCTTTCTTTTTTCTTTCTTTCTTTCTTCCTGGTTTTTTCTTTTCTTTCTTTCTTTCCTTTTTTCTTTCTTTCTTTTTTTTCTTCCTGGTTTTTCTTTTCTTTCTTTCCTTTTTTCTTTCTTTTCTTTCTTCCTGGTTTTCTTTTCTTTTTTCCTTTTTCTTTCTTTTCTTTTCTTTTTCTGGTTTTTTTTTTCCTTTTCTTTTTTTTTCTGGTTTTTCTTTCCTTTTTTTTCTTTCTTTTTTTTCTTTTTCTGGTTTTTCCTTTCTTTCCTTTTTCTTTTTCTTTCTTTTTCCTTTTTTTTTTCTTTCTTTCTTTTCTTTCTTCCTGGTTTTTTTTTTTTCTTTTTTTTTTTTTTTTTTTCTTCCTTTTTTTTTCTTTTCTGGTTTTTCTTTCCTTTTTTCTTTTTCTTTCTTTTTTTCTTCCTGGTTTTTCTTTTCTTTTTCTTTCCTTTTTTTTTCTTTCTTTTCTTTTCTTTCTTTTTCTTTTTTTTTCTTTCTTTTTTCTTTCCTTTTTTCCTGGTTTTTCTTTTTTTTCTTCCTTTTTCTTTCTTTTTTTCTTCCTTTTCTTTCTTTCTTTCCTTTTTTTTTTTTTTTTTCTTTTTTCTTCTTTTTCTTTTCTTTCTTTTTCTTTCCTTTTTTCTTCTTTATTCCTTTTGGTTTTTTTTTTTTTCTAGTCTCTCTTTTTCTCTTTTCCTTTTTTCTTTCTTTTCTTTTCTTTTCTTTATTCCTGGTTTTTCTTTTTTCTTTCTTTCCTTTTTTTTTCTTTCCTTTTTTTCTTTCTTTCTTTCTTTTTCTGGTTTTCTTTTCCTTCTTTTTTTTTTTTTTTTTTTTTTCTTTCTTTCCTTTTCGTTATTTCTTTCCTTTTTTTTTTTTCCTGGTTTTTTTTTTTCTTTTTTTTTTTTTTTTTTCTTTCTTCATGGTTTTTTTTTCTTTCTTTCCTTTTTCTTTTTTCTTTTCTTTCCTGGTTTTTTTTCTTTCTTTCCTTTTTTCTTTTTTTCTTTTCTTCCTGGTTTTTCTTTCTTTTTTCTTTCCTTTTTTCTTTTCTTTTCTTTCCTTTTTGCTTTCTTTTCTTTTTCTGTCTTTTTATAGTCATCTTTTTTTCTTTTTTCTTTTTCTTTTTTTCCTCCTGGTTTTTTTTTTTTCTTTTTTCTTCTTTTTTCTTTTCTTTCTTTCCTTTTTTTTTTCTTTTTATTCCTGGTTTTTCTTTACTTTCTTTCTTTCCTTTTTTCTTTCTTTCCTTTTTTCTTTCTTTCTTTCTTTTCTTTCTTCCTGGTTTTTCTTTTCTTTCTTTCCTTTTTCTTTCTTTCTTTCTTTTCTTTCTTCCTGGTTTTTCGTTATTTCTTTCCTTTTTTCTTTTTTTTCTTTCTTCCTGGTTTTTCTTTTCTTTCTTTCTTTCCTTTTTTCTTTCTTTCTTTTCTTTCTTCCTGGTTTTTCTTTTCTTTCTTTCCTTTTTTCTTTCTTTCCTTTTTTCTTTCTTTCTTTTCTTTCTTCCTGGTTTTTCTTTTCTTTCTTTCCTTTTTTTTTTTCTTTCTTTTCTTTTCTTTTTCTTCCTGGATTTTTTTAGTTTTTCTTTTTCTGTTTTTCCTTTTTCTTTTCTTTCCTTTTTTCTTTCTTTTCTTTTCTTTTCTTCCTGGTTTTTTTTTTTTTCTTTTCTTTTTCTTTCTTTTCCTTTTTTTTTTTTCTTTTTTTTTTTCTTTGGTTTTTCTTTTCTTTCTTTTTCCTTTTTTTTCTTTTTTTTTTCTTTCCTTTTTTTCTTTCCTTTCCTGGTTTTTTCTTTTTCTTTCTTTTCTTTTTTCTTTTCTTTCTTCCTGGTTTTTCTTTTCTTTCTTTCCTTTTTTTTCTTTCCATTTTTTTTCTTTTCTTTTTCTTTTTCTTTTTTTTTTTTCTTTCTTCCTGGATTTTCTTTTCTTTCTTTCCTTCCTTTTTTCTTTTTCCTTTCTTTTCTTTCTTCCTGGTTTTTCTTTTCTTTCTTCCTTTTTTTTCTTTTCTTTTTTCTTTTTCTTTTTTTCTTTCTTTCCTTTTTTTTTCTTTCTTTTCTTTCTTTGGTTTTTCTTTTCTTCCTGGTTTTACTTTTTTTCTTTCTTTTTTTTCTTTCCTTTTTTTTTCCTTTTTTTCCTTTTTTCTTTCTTTTTTTTTCTTTTTCTTCCTGGATTTTCTTTTCTTTCTTTTTCCTGGTTTTTTTTCTTTCTTTCTTTCCTTTTTTTTTCTTTTCTTTCTTCATGGTTTTTCTTTTCTTTCTTTCCTTTTTTCTTTTCTTTCTTCATGGTTTTTCTTTTCTTTCTTTCCTTTTTTCTTTCTTTCTTTTCTTTCTTCCTGGATTTTCTTTTCTTTCTTTCTTTCTTTCCTTTTTTCTTTCTTTATAGTCATCTTTTTAGTTTTTCTTTTTTTCTCTGTTTTTCTAGTCTTTCTTTTTCTTTTTTCTTTCTTTTTATTCTTTCTTTCTTCCTTTTTATTATAAGAAGAAATTACAACTATTCCTTCTTTCTTCCTATCTTTCGTTTTTTCCTTTTTTCTTTTCTTTCAGTTCTCCCGCCATCATACGCCAGTCGAATTACCACCACTTAAGTTCACAGATATCGATTACAGTCGATAATCTATCTTGCTGTCCATTTAAGGCAACCTATGAATATTTCTCAAGATATTACAAAACTGAACGTATCGATTATTATTATTTTACGTGCCACGTCCCTTTAAGACGTGGGCGATAATAATTTCTCTTGTAGCTTCAAGCAAACTTTGACCCCCTTACCATCACTCTCAGTCTCCGCTCCGCCATCCTTTCACGCAAATACGTATACTCTCCATCCCAATTATTTCGGATCTTCTTCGTTGCTAACATGTTCAGTCAATGATATTCTTATCTGTCTGTAGAAAAACATCTACGTCGTTTCAAGTCTCTTCTTCATCTATAAGGACATTTTCCATCATTTTCTGTTAAGCAGGGAGATACACAGGATATAGAAGTTCAGCACTTGTTTCTTTAATTGCTATGAAATTTTTAAAAGTTTTTCTTAAGATTTTTGGTTTCTTGGAGGCCACGTTCACTATTCAGATGCGCCTTCGGATCCCCGAGTCGAATTTTCTATCGTCACTTACTTAACTACCCAGAGAGTTCAATTCTGAAGTTATCAATTCGAAGGTCGCATGTTGGGTTGCCTCAGCTGCCGATGACTATATATTCTGTCTTTTTATAGTAAAATAGCTGTTTCGATGCGGAAATATCCGGCATACACGTACCGAACACTTAACGAAACTGTAGGTCAGTGGTTCCCAAACATTTTTTCCTATCGGCTGCATTTTCGGAATCAAAATTTGCTCGCGCCACACCAAAGGGAAGTCCTGGTGAAAAGTCATATAAAAAAGGTCCATAGAGAGGGATAAAGAGAGATAACCGCGGATTCAAAATCAGAATATTATCGTTGATAACTCTCTCCTCCAATTTGTGGATTCTCGTTACTATATTATTAATACTTGATATATTACAAAATAATATTTTAAATTTTGAAATTATATTTATGCTTTTTTTAAAATTGTTTCTTAATCTGTCATTGTCTTTCAGTCATGTTTTGCCTAACATTCTGCAGCGCCTCAATGATAATCTACTGAATTCCTTTAGGCTTGTAGGAAGAGGCTGGATATAGACATGCCCTTTCACATTGTCCCATAGAAATAATCACAAGGTGCCAGGTTAGGGGAACGTGGTGGCCATTTCAATAGATCAGTGTCATTGTCACTGGCACGCACGATCCATCTTCCTATTAGATTCCTTTTGAGATAAGTCCGCACTGATGAGTTAGAAAGGGTTACACAAGACAAGCTACAACGTGTGTGGCAGGAGCTGCACTACCAATTTCACGTATTCCATATCACAAGGGTGCGTATATTGAACGGTTACTCCGATATTTGCATTTTAAATTACGTCATTTTTGGGACACCGTGTATATTGATAGGTTCTCTTAGGACCCTCTTGATGTATAGGGCCAGCGGGAAAACTCATTCTTTTGTTTATTAGTTTATTTAGTCGAAATTAAAAGCGCTTACACAGTACAATATATGTTTTAAGCTATTATCTTGTAAAATTATACAGCTCAGCATATTTTCATGTTCATTAACTATCGATATATTATATTTTTGGCCATTGTATGTCACAGCCGACTTTGTTGCATTTTATTCCACGACCTAAACCTGATCGAATACTACATGTTTTAAACCATTTTTCTGTTTTGTTTTACAAAGTGGTGAGACAGAGAAATGGATTTATAATTTTTATAAAGACCTTTCAAATAAACTTCTATTTCGGTTGTTTCGTTTCTAATCACGAGGGCGATTACTATAAGACACAAGTACACACCTCTCCTGGATCTTAAATGAAATTCATATATACGATCCACCTCAAAAGATGCTGGAGAAAAAGGTCGATTCCTTGCTCCTGTCATTCTCTGTCTTGACAAGCGTCAGATAAGAGAAAAACTGGAAAATTGCCGCCATATCTAGGCTAGAGAATCCCAATTCAGTTCTTTGGGGCTTTCATGAATTAGATCTACATATTTATTTGCTCCTTTTTATATCATTTCCAATACAGGTTTTTGCAAAATTTTGTTGCCTTGAGATGTCACATTCTACTAATTTCTATCTATCTTATTTGTCTAGTTTCTCAACAGTTTGCAAAGACTTATTTTTGTCGGCTAACAGGAGACATCCTTTCAAGATGTTTTTTTTTCACAATAATGTCTTGCAGATTTGCCTAGATTTTTTCATCAGTTTGGGAGCTGCAATTCCAGAGAATGTTAAACTAATCATTCTTTTACAACATGTGGTGACTTATGTTGCCACCATTTAATTTTTCGAGGGCGGTTAAATGTACGGCATATTGACCTGTATATGTACTGAACAGCCTTATCATGTTACAAGTACTCTGATGGCGCCAGTCGGACAAAACAAATGTAGCCAGTTGTGGTTGGATGATCTCCACATGTGCAGTATTATTGGCTACTGTTAACTTTCAGAACATTATATTTTCCTAGTTGGACGACACTGATCCTGGACAACAATTATGAATCCTTTAGTTTCTGGTTTAAGGCCAGGATCTACTAGACAATGATACGTAGATTATGTGAACATTGTTCGAAAATAATTGTTCAAAAATAATTTTTCGAAATCAATTATCCAAAAAACATTCATTCGAATTGTAAATGTTTGAATGAAAATTAATCGAAAGGACAATTATACTAAATGATAATTATTCGAATTGCAAAATTCTTTTTATTGCAATAACAATGAAAAAATTAAGAATTAAAATTTAGTAATTATCCAAAAAACAAATATCGTTAATAAAACAATTTACTATAAGATACTTATAACATTGTTATATGATACTGCACACAAATAGAGGATGCCACTTTTAAATTTTCCATTTACGTCGCGTTAATTCTTGATGCTCTTGATATTTTGCCAACCTGCTTTTACTTTTCCAATATGAATTTCTTGCAAAGAGCGTCTAAGAATTTCCATATTGTGCAATGATGGGAGGACGCATAAAGGCCCTATACAATCCTTCAAAGGCTTTATTAGTTTTAGGTAAATCGGCATTGACTCTCTCAAAGCAAAACCACTTGAAATATTTCAAATATAGGTATTTTGAATCGCTTACTATGATTGTCCTTTCGATTAATTTTCATTCCAAATGTTTACAATTCAAATAAATATTGTTCGAACAATTGTTTTCGAACAGTTATTTTTTAACAATTTCGACACAGATGGTAATGAATGTTTGATCTTCAAATATATATCAGACTCATGCGTATCACGGGGTGACAGGTTCTGCAGCCAAACCAAAATTATTCTTCTTCTTCTTATTATTATTATTGTTGTTGTTGTTGTTGTTGTTGTTGTTGCTGTTGTTGTTGTTGCTGCTGCTGCTGCTGCTTCTACTGCTGTTGTTGTTAATGTTAATAATATTTGCTTATATCGTCTGGTGCTTATTTTTTCACTATATAATGCTCTCGAAGCTATAAGGAAAGGTGATTGGGAAAATGTTCCATTCACAGAGCCTAGTACAAACAAGACAGGAAGTGGAGAAATTATGGAATGCGCAAATGGATGAAATGCAGAATGTGTGGTGGATGAGCCATGATCAAGTTCTATGATCGCCAACATCCTGAAAGGTCTAGCTATCAGGTTCTAATTTTCTTAATTATTTGTTTTTGCTATTATTACAATATTTTAAAATTACAACTCTTAATAAAACTATTATTATTATTATTATTATTATTATTATTATTATTATTTCCTTTGATTTCTGTTGGATACCCATTTCCTTCTGGATCCAAATCAGAGGCCTAAGGTCTAAAATGGCTTCATGATATTTCCACCGATCATTTGTGTAAAAAAATAGAACAAAAACCTTTTACATAGATAATGTTCTTTATCATGTATAAACTGTATTTTTAAGTATTTTCTTTCCTTTCAGGCATGGGTTACCAGGAATCCTTTCAATGAGGCTATCCAAATATTTTCCAATGAATCCAAAGGTTCCAACTACAACTGGAATGATTGATGTCCTCATGAGCCATATTCTTGAGATTTCCACTTCAAGATCCTTGTATTTTGATAGATTTTTTTTAAGATCTTCAAATAGACAATTTACAATCTGCAGGGACTGCCATGTGAATAAGAAATCCCATTCTGTTTGTGTGGTCTTTGATCACGATGTCTTTGCAATGAGGTTTGATTGTTTTGTCTATTTGTATTTTAAAATCCCATAAATTTGTTACAGGCCCTATCTCTATTATTATTATTATTATCATTTTTATTTCCTTTGATTTCTGGCGTTTACACATTTCTTTCCGGTTCCCGGCTAGGGACCTAAGGTTAGAAATTGCATCATGACACTTTCCATTGACAGGAAGAAAAAAATTACATAGATAAAGCCCTTCGTAAACTGTGGGCTGTACTTGTCAGAACAATTTTTTGTATCTCTTTGAGCTATGGACTTCCAGGAATCCCTTCAATTAGTCTAATGGAATCTTTTCCAACCAATCCTTGGGCTCCAACTACAACAGGGATTGTTGATGTTCCCATGTGCCAAATTTTTGAGATTTCTATTTCAAGATTTTTTATTTTGACATCTTTTTGAATATCTTCAAAGATACACTGAAGTCTGCAGGGACTGCCTTATCAGTATGAAGGCACTTTTTTGTCATTTTTATTATTATTATTAATATTAATAATATTATTATTATTGTTGTTATTATTTCCCTGGATTAATCTTGTATACACATTTCCTTCCGCGTCTCAACTAGAGAGCTAAGGTCAGAAATCGCTTCATGACTTTATCCACTGATCATTTTTGTAAAAAAATATTATTATTATCAGTAGTAGCAGTAGTAGTATTAGTAGTATCATTACATCCTCTCTGACATTTAGATCTTCTGATTGGTTGATGATGACCAAATCTAAACTCCTACTCGCAGCTTAGACACAAAACACTTTTCTCAGCTTATGAGCTATTTCAATCAGCACAGCCACCTGCACACTCCCAATGATATCAGTTATCACCAAAGCCC